GCACCCATCTCAGAAGAGGAAGAAGAGCGGGGAAGCCTCAAGTGTATGAGAGGTCTCATGGGCAAAGGTACTATCAGTCATGACATTCTGAATTTCCAGAACTGAATACTGACTGCCTGCAAGTTGTCATCTGACCTCTAGTGTGGTCTCCTTTATCTCCAAATAAATTAGTATAAAAAAAATTTTTTTAAGACTTCCAATTTGTGTATATTTAAGATAATTAATTCAGAATGTCCTCCACTATAAAAGAGTGTATAAATGAATGCTAGTCATTTAAAAACAAAACAAATGGTTCTAGATTTATAAAAACTGTTTCAATTTCTTTCTCATAGCTGTTACCTAATATGTAGATCAGTAACGGAATTCTTTCTTCCTGACATTACAGGGATAGAGAGAGAGGAAGCTACTGTTGCATGTTAATCAGAACACTTTGCACTTGTAGCTTCATTTAATTCTTAAGACAGCCATGTGAAGTCTGTTTTCTGCTATGCTGTCCAGTCAGTTAAGCTCCCCAGCAAACATGTTAGAGAGCTTCAGTTATATTCAAAAGTGGCCCTGTGCTCTTAACAGCTCAAAGGGGCCTCAGTTGTTTCTATTCAGAAGAGCTGTGGGGACCAAAGGCAACAATATAGGTAAGTTGGAAAGTATGACAGAAATACAGGGCAGTTTTAATTTTGAAGGGAATTGTTCATAATATAGTTGGAATTTTAATACTGTATGTCATTAAAAATTAAACATGAGGTTATTCAGTAGTTGTTACAGTATTAAGATATTGGATTTCCATTTTTAGTGCAAATTCTATCTTTATCTTTAAAGGGCATAATAAAAATTGCCATTGAAATTGAAGTGATGACCAAAAGTCTCATAGGCAAAAAGTTAATGTTAAAAAAAAAAATATATGGTGAGCAGGGTGGTGGTGGGCACTCCTTTAGAGTGAGGCAGAGGCAGGTGGATCTCTGTGAGTTCGAGGCCAACCTGGTCTGCAAGAGCTAGTTCCAGGACAGGCTCAAAGCTACAGAGAAACCCTGTCTTGCAAAAACAAACAACAAAAAATTATTGTACTTGTTGTTTCTTCCTTTGCCACAGCATATTCTCTGGCTGTTAGTAATAAGTAATCAAGTAAGAGAGTCTATAAAATAAAGCAGGTACAGTATATGTTCAAGGGAAAAATCTTTTTTTATGAACAGGAAGCACAGTCCTATGCAGATGACAACAGTTTATTATTCATGGAGACATCAGCTAAGACATCAATGAATGTAAATGAAATATTCATGGCAATAGGTAAGATTAATAATATTTTCAAATGTTAAGCAAAATATATTGGATATTTGGTTCATGCCCTCTACAACATTATTTGGTTTTCTTAACCGATTATACTGTTTTTTTAGATCCTTTCCACTAAGCACTATTTTGTTAGGAATGCTGTAAAGACTGGTTGGGAAGCAGGACATAGTGGCCAGCCTGTACGACCCTACCTCTTAGTATGGTCTTAATGGAGTCTTAGAGTGGGGGAAGAAGAAAAGATTTGATGGACTGTCAGAAGGTTGCTCCTCCTCTCCCCTCCCCCCTTTCCAATTTTATGAGTTAAACTGAGGGTCTCCAGCAATCCCTGTGCCTACCACTGAGCTACATTCCCAGCCCCAGTATTGTCAAATTTATTCATGAATTCGGTGAATATTGGGTTATATAATACAGATGAATTAAAAGTTGATCTCATAGATTAGAGGTAGATTTTCCAAAGGTTACACTGAAAAGTCCAAGCAAATAAAAGTTTTTCTGTGTACAATAGTACCTCTTATCTATAGGGATGCCTGAAACTGTGGGTAGCTTAACAAGCTTTTAATTTGGTACTTTTTCTGTCCTAAGTATATCAAAAGATGGAATAGCAAAAATAGCATAGATTTCATTCTTCCCATTTTTACAGAGATTCTCTTCTGCCTGGGAAAGGGATCAGACCCCAAACTTTAAATATGGTTGTCAAGTGCTATACTATTGAACTACATCTGGGTGTTGAAGATTGTTTTCCAAATTTGAGTTTTGTTGATGGCTGAGTTCAAGTTTAGTCTTGGTATCTTATCTAGGCTGGACTAGAATTTGTGCCTCAGACTCCCGAGTGCTGGGTTTATAGGTGTAACAACAGGCCTGGCATGGAAGTTTCCTTTTTATTATATTTATTCTTTATTTTGATTGTTCTGTTGTTGCTTTGGGATAGGATCTGAGGATGACCTTGTACTTGTAAAGTTTTGTTTTGTTGTTCCTCTGTAGCTTTGGAACTAGCTCTTAGATCAGGTTGGCCTTGAACTCAGAGATCCACCTGCCTCTGCCTTCCAAGTATTGGGATTAAAGGCGAGCTTTAAAGGTCATTCTAAGTAAAATAAGTGTTACCTGGACGTGAACATTGTGATGCCAAGGTAGTCTGATAACCAAGCTGACTACTAGTAGGTAGGTAGTTGGTACATAGTATTGGTGTGTTAGACAATGATGGCAGGAAGGTGGAGACAATGTAGGAGTTCAGTATGTGTCTTTTGTTTCATACACACCTGCACACAAGTGCTCTTGTTAGTGTGAGTATACATAGAAGCCAGAGGTTAGCGTGGAGATGTTTTCTTGCACTATTTCTTCATGTTTGATTTTTAAACATTTATTTTGTGTGTGTTCCACAGCACCAATGCAAAGGGCTGAACGTGTTGCATTCCCAAAGCTCAATTCTATTCCCAACTTCCACAGTTTGTTTCAAATTAAACTCCCTTCTTTAAAGAAATCCCCAGTGTAAATTGAACCTTGCTCTTTCCTTGCTCTTTGCCTCTCAAATCACATGGTACAGTCCAATTAACAGAAACTGTCCTTTTGCTGATTACTTCCTTCCTCCTCTTGATCTCAGTCAGATGTGAATAGAGAAAGTCCTTAGAGGGGGCTGGAGAAATGGCTCAGAGGTTAAGAGCACTGACTGCTCTTCCAGAGGACCTGGGTTCAATTCCCAGCACCCACATGGCAGCTTACACCTGTCTGAAGATCCAGTTCCAGGGGATCTGACACTTCACACCAATACACATAAAATAAAAGTTAAATAAACTTTAAAAAAAAAAGTCCTTAGAGCAGTAGGCTACAAGGAGAAATTATGCACATTCCAAAACCCAACTCAGTATTTATTATAATACAGTCTGCAGTGAGTGCTAGCTTATTCTGTGTTCTTAGTACTATTGTTAATCCATTTCCTCCGCATTGCTTATAAATAACATGACTGAACGTTCGTTTTTATTGTACTTTATGGTACCATTTCTATAGCTAAACATAGGGTGGCTCAGTGAAAACTTTTTTTACAAATGTCAGTGCTCACTGGACCTGCTTCTAGCACCTGAAATTCTGAAGATAATGATACAGGGAAAGTAGGAAAAAACAAAGGGTTAAAAAATGCAGGATGAGGGTGTATGGCTTGGTGGTAACTGTTAACTGTGTAAAGTGTACAAGCCCCAGGTTTCCTAGCACAAAACAAACAGGGTCCAGAATTCCAGGTGGGAATTGGATATAAAGTACTATTCTTAGGAATATTGCTACTTTGTCTCAGGATTAAGCCATGGATCTAGCAGGTGAATTTTTAGTGGGGAACATACTCCACAGAACCACTATTAGTTGTATAGAACACACAGAGCTATTTGTTGTATATATTAAGTCTCACTATTTGTAAATTAGATGGGGGCTCTCATAGCCCAAGAGGGAAAAACTTAGATGTTTGAAGAGTATGGAAGCCAGGAAGGAAGTAGATGCTGTTTGCTGATTAGGTTGCACAGTAATGGACAGGTTTGGTTGGGTTGATGTGGTGGTTATATTGATAAAATTTGTTCATATCTTGACTTGTTCTCAGAATTATTTGGGACAAGCCAGAGAATGTTATGTGAGCTTCTTTATAAACTTTATAGCTGGTCGTGGTCTATTGACTGGATTCTATGTCTTGTTTGGTTTTGTTTTTTAAAATGGAGTCTTAATATGCTACTCAAAGCTAGTTTTAACTTCCTCAGCTCAACTGATTGTCACAATTCATTCTTCAGAATGAATCATGAGAATTACAGTCATGTCCCACCATGTCCACCAGATTGTATATAATAGAAATTTAATGATTATGAAAGTCTGAATGTAGCTAAGTGGTAGTGGCCTTGCCTAGTTTGCCCGTGAACCAGCACAACACAAAGTATTAATAATTAAGAAAAATATTTTATTATTAATAATTAAGAAATTATATTATAATATAATATTTAAGAATTATAAATAATTAATAATTTTATTATTAATAATTAAGGAAAATATGCTTTTATTTCTAAGGGAATTGATATAAAAATTGCATATAGTTGTAATTAAATTTAAGTTTAAATGGTATGCTTACAGTTGGCCTCTACCTACTCCTTTGCAAACACTAAGCAATTAAATTCCTTTAGTACAGCAACCAGCAGGATCCTTTTTGTGGGTTATTTGGTGTTTTGCTTTGCTTTGTGGCATTTAGTAGATAAATAAGCATTTGAAAAGAACAAACATAAGTCAATCACTTGAAACTTTGGAGATAACCCAACTGGAAAAGTGTATTATAAATAAGCAGGTCTAAGTGATTTTAATATGAGTATTATAATTTTATTTTGGTCCTTTCTTTCTTAGCTAAAAAGCTGCCAAAGAATGAACCACAGAATCTAGGCGCAAACTCTGCCAGAGGACGAGGAGTAGACCTTACTGAGCCTGCACAGCCAGCCAGAAGCCAGTGTTGTAGTAACTGAACTCCAGTGTGAACTTCCTAAATGGCAAAACCCGTGAAGTGGGAGCATTTAGCCGGCCCAGTGTGACTTCAAAAAAGAGACTTTTGGTAGAATCAAGTTTCTAATACTGAATTATTTTGAGTGTTTTGACTTAATTTTTAATAACATGCATGTGTTCTTCCGACTAATGTTTCGGCAGTAGAAGGGGAAATGAGAACTGTGTACAATTTGTTCCATGGGAAAGTGGATAAAAGGGGAACCATTTATCTCTAGTGGGTGTGGACCCACACTTAACCCAACCAGTCTTCAAACTGGTATAATAGGTGTGAAAAGAATTACTAATGTGAGCTTTAGAAAAACGTTTTTAGAAGACTAAAAATATTTATGCTTAGCAACAGAAGCCAAGCAAATGGTAATTTCTTCTATTGTCTAAAAAGTGTACATTCCACATAATAATAAAATAATCCTAAGAAAACAGTCCTATATCTCCAGAAAGAATGAATATTAGTGATATCTTACTCAGTCCTGTTATTTCTTAATATTTGATTGAAAAGAAGTCATGTGTAACCCCATCTTGTTTTAGGAATATAAAACTGATAAATGCATTTTAATGGGTAGTGGTCCCTTCATGTGAGCTCTTCAACAAAGTGGAAACAAACCAGGTGTCTGATTTCTCTTTAATCACTGTTGGCCATAACATAGAGGTCTGTCTGGAGCAGGGACATGATTAGTCAGTGCACTAACAATTATGTACATTCAAACTTGATTTTAAATATGATCTTCGGCTGTACTGTAAATAGAGTACTGCATTGTAGTTTCCATGTTATTATTTTCTGTAATATTTAAGAATTACCTAAGCATATACAAAATGTACAGTTACTAAAACAGCTAATTATTTGTCCCCTATAAAGGAAGGGGCTTTGCTGTTCTTTCATGGCTCGAACCATAATAAACACTGTACCTGCAATTTGTAACATAAGTATTACAATGTTCTTAGTAATAATCTTGAAACATTGTTTTTCAAAGTCCATTTAATTTTGATCAGTATATTGCACTAATTATTTTAGGTATTTTCATTATATGAAATCTACCATGTGTCAGATGATTTAATCTATTTAAGTGTTGATCTGCTAGCAGAACTTGTACATTTTACAGTAACTCAAAATTAGTAAGGAAAACAGTTCACCAGTGTTTAGTTTTATATTGAGGTGCTCAGGTTGAAATAAAGTGGTATAAAAAGCAACACTATGAGTTTTTTTTTTCTCTTTACATAAAGAAGTGAGCATAACACACATGGTATGTAACTGGAAGCTTTTGTATTTTCTTCCTGTTCTTACGAATGAATCTCACAGTCATTGATCTGTCCTAGAGTCTAGAGCACTGAAGTCTTTGTGGTACTGTTTGCTGCTCTGGGTCTTTGGGGTGTTTTTATGTCAGCAGCTGATACTCACTCCCATTGAGTAACATTACCATAACAGTGATGCTGTCTCTGGAACCACCTTCTAAAGCAGCACTTACAAGTTCACAGCCAATGTACTCAGCTGCATCTTCATAGAAATTCTTAGCATATAGTTCTTTCTTGCTTCCCTTCTTACTGTCTATATCGGGTAAACTGTTAGTTTCTTTCTTGCTGCAAGGGTCATAATTACTCCCTTCTGGAGAAAATGTTTCTGCATTTTTAGCCTGATGAATGCAAGCTTCAGAATATATTGAATCAGACGACCTTTTCGTTAGATTCGTAGTTGACATACCTTCTTCATATTCAGGTTTGTACTGGAACAACACTCGGATGTTACTGTCTGATGGGGAAAGAGGCTTGTTAGATAGCCAGGACTTGTTTTTAGGGCCAGAAACATATGTATCTTTATATGCATGAAACAAGGTTATTACTAGTGCAGTGACTTCCTTCTTGTCCAGAACTTCCCAAAGCCCATTAGTGGCTACGATGAGAAACTGACATAGATCATCTAGAGGGACAGAAATTGTTTGGGGTGCTGGAATAATGAACTTCTTCAATGCGAGGTTCCCATGAAATCCAAGACCTCTGGTGGTTTTTATGTGCCCTTCCAGGAGGCCATTTGAACTGATGACTGCTCCTCTCTGAAGGACTCTTCTTCTCTCCTTGGTGTTTCGTGTGGAATGTTCTTTTGTCAGGCAAAACCCTTTTCCATTTCTGCATAAGACTGCTTGCACGTTACCTAAAAGGAAAGGGTGGGTTTTTTTTTTTTTTAAAGAGAGTTCTAATTATCTGTTTGTGTAAAAGTATGCTACTTAGTCTGTTTCAATACTAAACACAAAGTATACCATGTAAATATCTTTAGAATACATAAGCTCAGAACTGCACAAATATGATTTTGAACTGGGAAACCACGTAATATTTGAATATCAATGATAACCCAGTAGCATTTAAAATAACTAAAACTACAGGTCTTGAAAATTAACTTCTAAATCAAATTTTTATGAAACTATTAAAATATGATTTTTACTATTAACACCTATGCAGCAGATTTTTGAAATATTCAAATAAAGTTTTTTAATGACTAAATTATGTGTATATGTGGGTATGTGCACATGAAGAGGGCAGAAGCCAGAAGAGAGTATTGGATCCCCCAGAGCTGAAGTTACAGTTGGTTGTGAGCCACCCAATATGGATGCTGGGAACTGAACTCTAATCCTCTGGGAAAGCAGCAGGGGTTCTTAAAGACTGAAACATCTTTACAGCAGCAGGTACTTTTTTAGTTAAACAAAACACAAAACTTTGAGGATTGGAGAGAGAACCCAGCAGTAAAGAGTACACAGTGGCAGAGGAAAACTTCAGGTCTAAGAAAATCTGATGCTCTTGGCCTCTGTACCTGTATTTGTGTGCACAGACACACACATACACATAAAAATAACAAATCCTTAAAGGAAAGCTGCCAAGCCTGATAAACATGAGTTCCATTCTAGGATCTCACGTGAAAACTGGCTTCTGCGAGTTGTCCTCTGACCTTCATACATACATAGGTGCACACAGAGACACACAAAATAAAGTTTAAAAAGATTGTAATTGGTCAAAGTTAAAACCCGAATGTATTTAGGATGTGGATGATAAAATTGTTTTCTGTACCATAAGTTCTATAAAAATTCCTATTAGGGAAATGGCAACCACATTAAATCCTGCAGTTGAAAACTGATGGCAGTATAATATGATTGTAGTTGAGATGGTGTTTATATCATATTGCTTCGTTGACTGAAAGAAGAGTGAAACAAAGCATGGTCCCAGTGGACTGAAAAGATGAGTCAGCAATCAGCTGGCATAAAACCAGATAAACAGGCGGATCTCTGTGAGTTCGAGACCAGCCTGGTCTACAAGAGCTAGTTCCAGGACAGGCTCCAAAACCACAGAGAAACCGAGAAACCATGTCTCGAAAAACCAAAAAAAAAGAAAGAAGACAAAAAATTCTCTGAAGCAGCCACAAGGGGGATCCGCATTCTGAAGAGTAACAGACAGCAATGCTAACCAGGCCAAATGGAAGCAGGTTCCAGCAACAGAAAATCCCACCAATCGAATTCCACACCAGGTTGAGTATTGCTTTTGAGAAGCAAATGATATGGGTGGTGAATGCCGTTTTACTTAGTACTTAAGTGGATGCCGATGAGGTTTAGGCCATCCTGGGTTACATAGTGAGTTACAGGACAGTCAGGGATATATAGTAGAGAAACTCTTGTCTCAAAAAAAACAAAAATTTATCACCAGGAAACAGACATCACAGAGACCAAGGACATCTCCCAGATGAGAAACACCAGATGAACAAGTCTAAAAAGGAGTATGAGTTCCTAAAGGATGCGACATTTTTTTCTTATTGAAATATATAAAAATAATGGGCTGTTGTAGTTTGAATATAGTTGGCACCCATAAACTCAGGGAGTGGCATTAGGTGTGGCCTTAGTGGAAGAAGTGTCTGTGGAGGCGGCTTGAGGTCTCATTGCTCAAGCCATGCCCAGTGAGTCAGTCCACGTCCTATATCTTGTAAGATGTAGGACTCTTCAGCTACCTCTCCAGCACCATGTCTGCCTGCACACGGCCATGCACCCCATCATCATAATGGACAGAACCTCTGAACTCATGAGCTGCCACCTTTATTTTAAATGTTTTCCTTTATAAATAGAGTTGGTGTGGTCATGGTATCTTCACAGCAATAGAAACCCTAATCAAGGCAACTGCTGAAAAATCTAATACTATGCAGAATATGTAAGTATAAATCATACAGACATTTACAAACAAATATGTAATCAAAATAATGGCTGAGCCATACCTGTAATCCCAGCACTCTGGAGTCTGAGATTCCAGGATACCCTAAGATACCTAGAAAGAGTCAACACAATATGGTCCAGAGAGCTGGAGCAGAGGATAACAAACAGATGGCAATGTTGAAGAAACATGGACAAATAGAACTTTTAGCTATTGCTAAATGAATAGTGTCATGGCATCACCATTCTGTAAAACTGATAAGTTTCACTCCCAGTATATGTATTTTTGTATTTTAATCCTATAAGCATTTAATGAAGTAAAGAAATAGAAGACCAAGAAAAATTATTAGGTAGAATATAAATGATAAGGACAAAAACTTAGCCAGAGCTGATTATAGGCTGGCATCCCATTTTTAAGAGGCTAAGGTAGCAGGATTACAAATTCAAGACCATCCTTGAAATGTAGTGAAATTCCATGCTAAAGCGAAAACAACAAAGTGGGCTGGAAATGTAGCTTGGTGATAGGGGGTTTGCCCAGCATCTTAGCCAGTAGAAAACTGAAGGAAAAATGGCTATTCTACTGTTTGACACAACGTGACCGCTGAGTATGAAAACAATCAGGGTGCTTGACCAGCATGCACAAAGGTTGTACTGGCAGTGCCGAGAATTGTGGCATATGTCTGTAACTCCAGCTCTCGCTCTCAAGAAGTAGAGGCAGGAGGATCAGAAGTTCGACGAGATCCTCCTGGGTTACATAGTGAGTCTGAGGCCAGCCTGGGATACAAGACTCCTGGCACCAAAAGTTGTCCTATCAGTTATAATGGACCAATCTGAACAAGTATGCTGAGAAGTCAACTTTGCAGTCTCCACAAAGAAGGCAGTGGGTTCCTTATGTCTGTTTTTTGTTTTGATCTAGCTATCATAGGTATTCATTTTTCACATATATCAACATCTCTATTACTACCTCATTTGGAAATTTTTAACTAAAGTATACATGTGTATATATGTGTACACACTAAATTTTCATATACATGTATATGTACACAAGTAAATGTATATATACATAAATATGTGTATATATGTACAATATATGCGAGAAAAGTGTGTGTGTGTGTGTATCCATCTGAAGAAGTCAGGACAATTTAGGATTCAGCGCTGTTCTTCCAACATGGTTTCAGGGATTGAACTCAGGTTGTCATCAGACTTGGCAGCAAGTACTTTAACCCTCTGAGTCATCTCTCCAGTCCCATCTGGAAAAGCTAATGCTTTGTCACATTGGACATGACGTGTAACATTTTCCTTCAAGGCTGAAACATTCCATCCTGCAGAGACCACTCCTTAAGCAGAAAGGCAACAACTCAAAATAGCTTCAGAAAGTTCTTGCAATTTACCAGACTCATTAGGCCCCTCCTTCCCAGCTTAAGCTATAAAGCTGCCAAGAGTTACACTCTGACAAACCAAGCTGCAAAGTCTTGTTGCAAAGACAAGTTGCAAAAAGGCGGTGAGGCCAGACCAGCTACTTAGAAGCAGAAACTAGCCTATCTGCCCGGAAAAGGTTTAGAAAAGAGTCACTTGGAAAGGACACTCTTCAACCTGTTGAGCTGCCTTCAGGTTGTGCAGTGTGCTCCAAGTTCCCAGCTTTTGTGTGGGCTTTGGTGACGCAGCTGGCTGTGAATTATTTCTGCTCCTGTAAGTAACTCTTCATCCATATTCCTGTAATTTACCCCAGTAAAGCTCATTGGATCACCAAGTGGACTTTGATGGTATCAGTACTTTGGTCTATTATGGGTTCCTTATCTGGTGTGTTGTGTCTCCTGAAGAAGAGTTTTGTCACATAGTAATATCAGTGCCTATAAAATAGTTAAAAATTATTTTTGTTCCTGAAATCTGTATTTAAACTGAGGTTTTTGTTTCTTAATTGTTAAATGCAATGTCTAGGTATTAATAAATCACTAAGTGACTAATTCTAGAAGCAAGAGAGGTTTTCTGTGGGCATTTACAATATTTAGGTGTCAAGGATACACACCAGCATTTGCAATGTGTAGTACCCCAGAGATGATCTGTGGGGTCTTCTGGGAATGAAAACTCTCAACACCCTGCTGGTCTGTTTTTGTCAAGTCCTTACTAGTATATGGGTTTTTAACTGCACCCTCTAATATACAAGTGAGTGCAGAGCAGCCACTCCACCGAACCCGAGAAACCTCATTCCTTCCGAGCCGTAGAAGCCTATCCATTCTCCAAAACGCCTTTGCAAAGCCTTTGTGTATTTCCTCATACTCCCGTCTATGGGTTCTGAAGGTTTTGTATGTGGAAGAGATAGCCTCTTCTTTGGCTCTGTATTCTTCCCTGAACACAGTCTGAAAGGAATCGATCAGTTGCTGCTGCTCAGCTGTCATTTGGTAGGAAGGATCATGTTTAGACAGTTGATGGAGAAATAAAACCTGGAACTCCTTTGATGCCATGTCCGCTGCTGCACTGCCATGATGGCCATCGAACAAGCCAAAAAAGCACACATTGGCTTTACCACCAAAATCATTCGTGACTGTGAATTTACCATTCGGGTCAGCTTTCCAGGTGGAATTGCTGTTGCCACAGATGGCTACCCCTTTAATCACCAGATGGGAGATGTTTGGAGAATGCATGGAAGTGTGGCCAACCTTATCACAAAGTCTGAAGTATGATGGGTCTTGTTTTTTCCAAAGCAGCTCAAACGCATAATTCATACTCTGAAGGACTTTTTCACTGAACATGAAGGATGCCAGTAGTTTAGAAATCACAAACTGTCTCTGCATACTGATCACTGAGGGCTTTGGTTTCTTCCCTCCCATCCACTGGAAACCCAGCATACTCAGAGCATTGTGATGTTTCTTATGGAGAAAAGTTCCAGCTGTGTTGATTTCTTGGTGGCAGACAGAGCAGGGGAACGTGACCTCTTGACCGTCACTCAGCTGCTCGATAGACTCCTCATGGTCACTGGGGGTTCTTGATCTCTTAGGCTTTCCTTTTTTAACACGCTTTTTTTTACTTTGTGTCAGCGACTCATCCGAAGAAAATGTTGAAGATCTCCAAAATACTCTGCAAGAAAGGTGAAATATGTTTACGGATCAGGAACTAGAGAGGTAGCTCAGTGGTTTGGAGCACCTGTTCTTACATGGGACCCACATCAATAACTCATTCCAGGAGATCTGATGGCCTCTTCTGACCACTGTGGACACTACTGCTTGCACATGCAGACAAACCAAAGGGTGTTCAATTAAAATAGTTACGTCTCAAGTAAAAAAGTAGGACCTTTTGGTCACTACTGGACCTAGGGCCTTGTATGTGGTGGGAAAGTGCAGTTTTTCTTTGGTATTTGGAGACAGGGTTCCTCTGTGTAACTTTGGAGCCTGTCCTGGAACTTGCTTTGTAGCCCAGACTGGCTTCGAACTCAAGAGATTCACCTGGCTCTGCCTCCTGGGTGCTGGACCAAGGCCAACATCCCTTTCTCTTGGGGAGAGGACCAATAGTGGGCTTTTGACAAAATAAAAAGAGCCCTTCTTTCGGCCTCCTGCTTTGAGTCTCTCTGACATCACCAAACCATTTACCTTATATGTGGATGAGAATAAGGGGATGGCAAAAGGGGTGCTAACTCAGGCTAGGGCCTGGAAGAAGCCAGTGGCCTATATCTCCAAAAAGATGGACAATGTGGCAACAGGATGACCCCTTGCCTCAATATGGTGGCCGCAGTAGCCACCCTGGTCAAAGATGCAGATAAATTGACCACTGACTATAATAGCACTCTATGCCATAGAGACAGTTATCCTCCAACCTCCTGACAGATGGCTCTCGAATGCCTGAATAACCCACTACCAGTCACTATTACTCAACCCTGAACGTATCACCTTCAGGAATGCGACATCACTAAACCCAGCCACCCTGCTCCCCAATTTGGAACCTACTGTTTGTGTACCTCATGACTGCCATCAGATACTGGCTGAATACCATGGAACCAGGGGAGATTTGACTGATTGCCAGCTTCATGATGTAGATCATACCTAGTTCACGGATGGCAGCAGTTTCCTCAAAGAAGGTGAGCGCAAGGCAGGGACAGCTGTGGTAGATGGACAGACTATTATATGGGCACAGGCACTGCCACCAGGGACCTCTGCTCAAAAAGCAGAGCTAATAGCCCTTACCAAGGCCTTGGAACTAGCAAAAGGACAAAAAGTAAACATCTATACAGACATTCGCTATGCGTTTGCAACTGCCCACATTCACAGGGAAACTTATAAAAGGAGGGGATTACTAACCTCAGCTGGAAAAGAGATTTAAAGTAAGACTCAAATCCTGGCATTATTGAGGGCCCTCTTCCTGCCAAAGAAGGTGAGCACTGTTCATTGCCCAGGGCATCAAAAGGGCAATGATACCATTTCCAAGGGAAACTGTAGCGAGCTGCATGGAATCACACCTGATGGAGATGTATAATCAACTCCTATGGCTAAAGTCTGACTTCTGCCTGATCACGCAATGATCATCAGCTGCTTGCATATGCGTGAACCTACGGGCAGTGCCCACCTGGCAATCCAGGATTGGCAGCCCATGCCTACTTAAGGGCTGGGAGAGAGAAGAGAGAGAGAGTGGAAGAAGGGAAGAGGGAGAGAAAGTGAATAAAGGCCTGGAATAAACTGCAGTGAGAAGAGCTCCGGTGGTCGCGTCATCCTTTCTGGATGAGGGCTGGACGCTACAGGAAACCGGATGGCCAATGAGACGGCTAAAAAGGCCGCGTTGAACTCAGAAATATTAACCCTGGCAGAGGCAGCTCCCTCCACAGAAGATTACTTCCAATATTCCGCCCAGGATCTAGAGACTATCCAGAAACTTAATGTGGACTTTGATGAACAACAAAAAGCTTGGAAATACCAGGAAAATCGTGTTACCCAAGAAAGATGCCTTTGAGCTGGTCACCCAAATGCATCGATGGAGTCATTTAGGACACAAAAAGATTAAATCTCTAATGAAAAAGACAGATTTTTATATTCCAGGTCTTAACTCCCTCATACAGCAGGCAATGTCAACTTGCTTCCCCTGCACCAAAGTAAATGCAGGGCATCAAAATGCCCCGGAGAGCATAAGAATAAGGGGAGACCGACCTGGTACTCATTGGGAAGTAGACTTCACTGACAAACCGGGAAAATATGGTAATAAATATCTCCTAGTTTTTATAGACACCTCTGGTTGGACAGAAGCTTTTCCCACCAAACAAGAGACGGCTCAGTTGGTAAAGAAGATACCCCTAACGCCAGGTACTTGGTTCCCGATTCAGGAAGATGGTGGGCTTGTAATATGGGCCTGACGCCTTGTGTAGCAACTTTGGTTTTTGATAACTCCAAGGATTACTGTGTGCTCATTCAACTAGTACTTAGGGTCTTTTATGATCCCACTGACACATTTGAAGATGAATTTGATGAGCACCTGAACCACTGTCAGCGGGAGCCTATCTCCCTGACTCTAGCAGTAATCTTAGGCCTTGGAGTTGCAGCCGGTGTCAGCACTGGTGTTGCTGCTCTGGTGGAGGCTCCCCAATATTATAATGCATTAAGGATAGCCATGAATGAAGACTTAAAAGCCCTAGAACAGTCCATCTCTAAGCTTGAAGAGTTGATGACCTCATTCTCTGAGGTGGTGTTACAGAATAGGTGTGGATTAGACTTGTTTCTCCAAGAAGGAGGACTCTGTGCTGCCCTAAAAGAACAATGTTGTGGGGCTGGAGAGATGGCTCAGCGGTTAAGAGCATTGCCTGCTCTTCCAAAGGTCCTGAGTTCAATTCCCAGCAACCACATGGTGGCTCACAACCATCTGTGGTGGGGTCTGGTGCCCTCTTCTGGCTTTCAGACATACACACAGACAGAATATTGTATACTCAATAAATAAATATATTTAAAAAAATATATTTTACATAGATCACTCTGGTGTAATCAAGGATTCCATGGCTAATCTCATGGTTAGATAAACGACAGCGGGACAGAGAGGCACAGCAAGGCTGGTATGAAGGATGGTTTAGTAGCTCCCCCTGGCTCACAACCCTCATCTCCACTATCACTGGTCCCTTAATCATTCTGCTGCTTCTTTTAACCTTTGGACCCTGCATCTTCAACCGACTCCTGATGTTCGTGAACAGCTTAGCGTTACTCAAGCTTTAATATTAACCCAGCAATACCAGACCCTTAGGAGAGATTCCAAAAAAAAAATAAATAAATAAAAAATAAAAAAATCCCAAGATTGGGATATGACCCAATCAAAGGGGGCGGGGGTAAAAGACTCTGGCTGGGCCACATCAGCTAAACCGCCCCTAATCCTCCTCTGGGAACCAGGAACCTGATAATCACCCACACATGCACTAGCAGCTTTGGGTACTTTCCCCCAGAATTTTCTATCCCTTTTGTAGGTTTTCCTCAATAGACTTAGGCCCTGAAACTGGGGTAAAACAACATACAGATGTTTCTCCTTGTTCAACCAACCCAGTGATCACCATAGCAACCACCCATCAGTTAGATGACCACTGAGCTGGTCACAGTGGCTAACAAACGACTTCAGCACTCCCCCTTTTTTTTCTTTTTGTTCTGCGGTTTTTCTCTTTAAAAGAAGCCTGTGGTAGTTCTTCGAGGTCCTTCACCTGCTGAGGGACCTCTAGCATCAGAATAAAAGTTCCTCTTGCTATTGCATCAACTGAGGTGTGAGTGGTCTCTTGGAGTGACTCTACCCTGGTGATTGGACTCCAGGGTCCAAAACCACCTAAACTATGTCTTCAGCCCCAAAGGTTTTAAGCTATTTTGAATAAAATGTATATAAAATTTTCACTTGCTTTAAAAAATAATATGCATGTAGAGCATATAGTTTTATGAGCTATGATGGCCTTTGGGGACATAATATGAAATAATAAAACTTCACCAGCAGTTACTCCCTACGTCAGAACTTCAATTTTCCATGTTTATGGGATAGCTATGACATAGCTCTGTCAAAAATGGAGCCATACTTAGAATGAAAACATCAGTCATAGCTCAGTGTGGTGGTGCATGCTTGTAATTCCAGCACCAAGGAAGCTAAAAACAGGAAGGTTGCTGCAAGCTCAAGGCCAACCTGGGATATATAGTTTAAGGATAGCTGGGCTCCAGAATGATACCTTAGCTCAAAAAATAAAACAAAGTGTAGCTAATTAAGAGCACAGAGAAAGGAGTTAGGTGCAGTGATAAATACCTGTCGCCCAGGGCTAGGGAAGTGAAAGTAGGAGTATCTGAAGTTCATGGTTAAACTGGACTGTGTGAGATCCTGCCAAAACAAAGCAAGCAAACAAGCCAGGAAGCAAGTAAGTAAGCAAGCAAGTGAGAAAGAAGGGGGAGGGGGAGGGAGGGAAAAGGGAGAAAAGTGGTGGCAGCAGGGAGGCTATGCCAGAATCTCTCTTTTGGACAAGGTAAAGGAGTAGCTCATTCCTAAATCTGCGTAGTCTAACAGGAAGACAAAGATTCATCTATTGCTATGAGAGTGAAGAAAAACATACTCTAAAGAATGCTGTAAGCAAGTCAAGCAGTGTGGCATACACCTTTGATCCAGCATTAGGGGTATAAGGAAAGTGGGCCTCATTGAATTAAAGGCCAGCCTGGTCTACAGATTGGGTTCTAGGACACCCAGGTCTACACAGAGAAATACTGTCTCAAAACAAAAACGGAAAGAATACTGCAGACTTACATATGTGAAAGAAATCTAAGTGCAGTCAATAAATAATGGGAGAGACAATGCTTCAACTAAACATTTTTCACTGCAAAGTGGAACTTCCAGTGCCAAGGATGGGTTACTTCTAATTGAACCATTGGCCAAAGAGGCCCGAGGGAAATCTGAAAACCACAGGTCATTGCCAAAGCTATCGGTTCCTCTGAAACCCGATGGTAAAGCCCTACTATTGAAGACAACACGTATCCCATCACTGAACATGGTGACCACCTAGAGCCTTTATCCCCGCTGACTAGTGCTCCTCATCTTAGAAGGTACTCTGCATGGTACCAAAGGACAAAGCTAAACACCAACTGAGCTACAAACCCTGAGGATACAGTGGTGACCTGCATGTTCCACTGGTACAATAGTGGCACAGATGTTGTGGGAGTAGCCTACCACTGCCTGAACAGATTTACTGCTCACTCCCTGAGTCCTAATTAGAAACCTGTGGCTGACCTGAAACTGGATAAATAATGGGCAAGGGGAGAACCAAATACTACTGTTCTCCTAAAAGAACTTAGCAATAAAATGACCCTTAATGACATTTTGCTATACCTATATGTCAGTATTTCATTTGATCGCCATTAAAAAAGCTTCCTCCTGCAATAGATGGGAATTAGTACAAGGACTACAAATAACCAATGTGTAGAGAGAAAGATTTTGGAACACTCAGTCCAAAATAGGACACATCCATTAAACTGCTTCCTTTGATGTTCCGGGATATATACAGAAGAAGTGGAAAAACTGTAGAAGTCAGAGGTAATGGATAACTCAAAGGAGTCAGTGATATCAGACACAATAGGTCAATAATGAGGCATTTGAGGTTCAGCCCCAAGTTCCTCTTCAAGGTTCAGATCGGATACTACAGGAAGTGAAATGAACGTTTTTCTTCATTGTTTTTGAGGGAGAGTGAATCCTCTGACTCCATGCTGTTCTAAACAAGCCTCGTTATTCTTTTGTCTCTATTATAATTCTCCTGTCCTAATTCTAATTCCTCCTAGCTTCTCCTCTAGCCTAAAACCTCTCTTTTTACAGGAGGCTTGGAGCAACAAAAAAATTTACAAAAGTTAACCTCTCAATTGTCAAAAGCACATTCCTAGGGTAAGCAGTAGGTAGCTGAGCCATGTTACCATGGCAACACAAGATTCTAAAGTTACAGGAGTAAGACTGTAATCAGCAAAGTGGCACAGTGTCCGTAGGTCTTTTATCAGCTAGACTTGGCAAGCGAAGAATTGACATGCTTTTCTTAGGGTGCTTTGTGTAGCAACCTTGCTTGGACACCTGTGACTCTGACCTGTGCATAGCTGTAAAGTTTTCAACTTATTATCTATTTACAAGAAGCCT